TACTTTGAGCATATAATAAACTGGTTTCTACATGTTAATAGTTTTGATTAGCAGTAGTACCTATCAGTGAATCCTTGGATAATTTTTATATTATGGTTATTTTATTTTCCTTTATATGCTATGTAAATATTCTAGCCTCTCTAGAGATTCCTGTGGTAGCTTGGGAGGAAGGAGACATTAAATGTGCTAAGCTCTATGTGTTAAGGTCTGAGGATATAAATCCTGCCCTCGAGGAGCCTATGTTCTTTTTTTTCTTTTTTCATGAAAAACATTTAATATGAATGTATTATTAAATATTTAACCCGAGGCCCTTGTCATGTTGGGACCATTTAGTAAGAACGTGCGCAAGTGAGGCCTTCTTTAAATAAGTTTCTCTTGTCTCAGTACTTAAGTTACTGCCTTTTTCTGGGACCTGGGAAACTAGCTTTCCACCAAAATTAACATGGAACAGAATCATAACAATGTGCCACCACCTTATCTCCTACAGGTGGATTTTTCCAACATGGTGCTTGTTTGGATAAAAAAAGAGTTAAATTATACAGTTATCAGATTTTCACTTTTGGAGATGGCATGGATTGCCCAGAAGTAGAGAGTCATACTTTAGTCTTGGCTACTGTAATAATAGGCACTATACTAAAAACTTCTGAGAATATAGAGCTTTGCAGTTAACAGAGCCTTTCACAATTTACAGAACACTTGAACAGAAGTATAGCTGGAAAAACATTGACCTGGAATATGCGACATGTATTCTAGCCCTGAATCTGCCACTAACACACTAGGTCGCCTTGGCCAACTTCTTTTTCCTCTCTCTGGGCTTGCTTCCCACATCTGTCAAATGAAAGGGTTGATGACAGAATATGTTAGCTTATGTCGCAAAGACATGTAACATAAGGGGTCTGGCATATGGTAGGTTCTTTCAGTGGACATTCCATGGCTCTGGGGGTCTACAGTCCCCTTCTAACTCTAATTCTCAGCTCAGGTACTCTGGTGACTCTAAGGTTCCTTTTAGCCTGAACATTCTGGTCCCCTCCAACTCTTTCATTTTATGATTCTCTATCTTATCACTCTGGATTCTCACTCTAAGGTAGGCAGGGAAGATTGTCATTTTTGCTGTAGTTTGATGCCTGCAATTGCTTGTTGTCACAGAAGTGAGAGGGAAATAAATACCTATTATAATACATATACTTCTGAAAATTTTTACTTAAGGATCCCCCACCTCCCACCCACTCATGAAGCAGTCTCAGCCACAGTCCCCATTTCTGTCCTCCAGGAGCCTGTCTTCTAATGGGGAAGATCACATACGAAAGGGAGCAGACAGAAAGGAGAGTGGGGCAGGAAGTGAAGAAACCCAGTGGGGAACTTGGAATGAAGTCAGAGGCCACAAATAGAGGTTCCAGGAGGAACATACCATTGGAAGAAGAGAGTTGGGCTTTGCAGAAGGATATTCCAAATTAAAACAAGTAGAAGGAAAGGTTGAGGAGATCCCACTGTTGAGGGAAGTTCCAGAATGAGCCAGCAGGAACAGGGGGTGGTTTTGAAGTCTAGAAAGTCATGAACAGAACTGGGATGAGTGAAGGTATGACCATTCTACCCTTTAGAGGTACCTTTGTTGTAACCATATTTTTTCCATCACTATATTGGGGTCTCTTATGCGTATTCATTTCTTTGAGATTTCTGTTAATTCTCTTATGAGGTTTTTCCTGTTAGGGTTTTGTTGTGGGAAGAATATTATCCCCCATTGAATTCATGTGATAGACTGTTATGGAATAAATCTATAACAGTGCAAAAATTTAGAGGTAGGAACCTGGGATTTATTATGCTTAAGCACAGATTCAGGAGGTAGAAAAATAACCCTGAAAAAAGATTGGAGTTTCTGACAAAGCTGTAAGAGAAAAATGACATCAGAGAGATCATTTTTCAACATACAGCAACTTTAAAAGAGCATACAAGCCGAGTCAAACAGATTTGTTATTTCATGCTTCCTCCAATTATGGTTGAGTAGACTCAGTTAGAACAAATTAGTAAACAGACTAAGTTACAGATTTAAACACTGAATTTCAAATTTCTACTCAGGAAACCACAAGGCTATATTTTAAAGAAGTCATAATGGGCTAATTAAGAGTAGGAAGTTTACATATCACAAAGGTAACCAAAGGTTCAGAGCCAGGAAAATCCTTTCCACAAAGTTAGCTAAATCCCCCTGAAGGGTTTAAAATTTTTGTAGATGCTTTATTTGCTTTTTCCTCTCTTTTGACTTCTTATCTTAGAAATGTCAAAAGTCTTTCCTCAATACTATCATTCATGAGTTAGGTTTTAGCCAGAGGAAATTAATATTAACAGGAGACAGCCAGATATTCAGGACAAATGACATAATAAAATTGAATAAAAGGGAATACAAAATTCTCATAAGGTTCTTTGCCCTTCATTTTTTTGGTCACTCTTTTATTTGATGCGTTTGTTGTTGTTTTGAAGTGGTCTAGGAGAACCAGACTTAGTTGTGACCAGCTTCACAGCCATTTTTTTTAATATAAAAACAATTTGTTGAGATGATGTAATTATAGGCTTTTCTTTAAAAATTATTTGCACCTCACTGGCCCTGAGAATAGGCTTTTTTTTTTTAATTTGGTTACATTCATTTGATTCAGTCCCTTATAAAATCCACACCTCATAAACAACAGATTAGAAACTAAGAAAAAATAAGTCTGGATTTATTGTGGATTTGCAGGTGGTTGTCACAAAGAAAAACCTTTAAGAATAGTCACTGGGCATGTGAGAGATTTAAAGAGTTGGTAGTCAATTAGTGTTGATGCAGATGTGACTGAGAGCATACTGCTTGGCCTCTATAGTTTTCAACTAGGCAGAGGATTACTTTTATGTCCAGCTCTGGATTGGAACATTACACCCTTCAGTCCAGGTCTCTGTTCAGAAAAGTAGTAGATTAAATGCTTCTCACTAGCACCAAATATTTTGGCAAAGAAACACTACCTTTTTTTGTTTGCTTATTTTTTAGTATTTTTTTTCATCATTTTCTTCATCTTCCTTTCAGGGGATAGGTCAAATGGACTGTGGCTGATATAAATAAAGTTTGTTCACAGCCATTTTGTTCAGACATCTCTGCAACATCTACATCTTTACTGTTCTCTCCATTCACACCCTTACCACCCTTATTCAGAACCTCAGCACTTCTTACCCAGACTGACTCTTAATTTACCTCTCTTCTTACAGGTTCTTCTAATCTGTCCTTTACAAAATTGCCAAAATAATCTTCCTGAGGCACTGAACTATGCCATTCACCTCTTTATAAGACTTTCAGTCCTTTCCAGTTACCTATAAGATAAAATATCCTAGATGATCCGAATCCCATCCACTGCCTTTTCAGCCTTATTTCATATTACTCCTTTGAAGCAATCTAGCTTTCTGCCAAACTAGGCTGTTTCCTGAACTTAATGTGCTGTGTCACGCTTTTGTATTCTTACATGCCATCCTTCATGGCATTTTCACTGACTTTCAGAATGATTTTCTTCCTTTAGGGATTAACTCAGGTGCAACTCCTTATTTGAAGCCTACCCTAATCCTTTAAGCTGAAAATATTCTTTCCTTCCTTAAATTTTTCTAAAGCAATTTGGAGCTCTTCTCACTACTTTCTAAATAAAACATAAACTTCTTTAGGATATGAACTGTTCATTTTTTTAAACCTTTCTATCCCCATTTTCAAGCACAGTGTCTTATACCTAGAATCAAATTAGTTAGTGTGTGTAAAATGCTTGGCAAACCTTAAAGTTCTACCCAGGTTGTCCCAAAAGTCTTAGTTTAGTCTTGAGCTGCACTAGCTAATTGCTGGCTATTTCTTTTATCATAGTTATTATCACCTAAGATGTACTTTAAAATGTTTGACTATTAAATAAATGAGTGGTGAGACTAATTCTTTAAATTTTTCATGTATATCATTCCGTCTTCCAAGAGCTACATTTGCAGGTGATTTGTTGACCTGGAACTGTCTTGAATTTTCTTCCTTGGCTCTTGAAAGTTTAGGGTCATAAGATCATAGATTAAAAGCAGGGATTCTTAATCTTTTTTGTTATCATGGACCTCCTTGGCAAACTAGTGAAGCCTATGAAACCCTTCTCAGAACATTTTTAATATATAAAATAAGATATATAAGGTTACAAAGGAAACCAATTGTAATGAAATTCGGTGATCAGAATATTTTAAAATAACAAATTCCTGGATCCCAGGTTAAGAAGCTCTGATTTAGAGCGTGAAGGGACTTTAGATCTCATTTTATAATTGAATAAACAGGGGCCCAGAGCTTAAGTGACTTGCCAGAGTTACATAAGTAGTAAGTGGTGGTCAGCATTTGAACCTAGGACCTCTGACTGTCTAAATCCAGGACTTTACAGCACACTGCCCACTTAGGCTATTATTATTTAGTTTTTCATAGAGGCTTTGCTTATGTTTAAGCCTTTCTTCCATTTTTATGAATTTTTCACATCTGCCCTCGTATTAATGTCAGTATATGGAACTACTGTGTATAGTGTTTATTATGTACAGTGTCAGAGTTAGGGACAGAATCTGCAACTCATCATCAAGTACAACAATCCACAAGGAGGGCTTTGACATTCTCTGTACCCATCATCTTTTCTTTTTGATGAATCAGTCAGTTACTGATCTGCAAAACTTTGTCCTTAAATGTCCTATAAACTTTAAAAAACAAACTTTCATTTTCTTCTTTTTCTGTGTGTCCTACTTTTCCTCTTCCTTGTTTTCTTCTTCTTGTATTCTAGTCTTACTACCTTTGACTCCTAGACCCTGAGGATATAGAGGATAGACAAGTCCACACAGAATTTGGATATTTTCCCAATCAGAATTATAGTTTGGGTTGGAAGAAACTGGACTAGACTGTGCCCATTGCCTTAATTTTGAAACCTGATTTCCATAATTACAGGGTCTTCTCTCTTTTAATGCCTTCAGTCTTTGATAGAATATATTTTGCTTTCTAGAATGGTGCATATGAAGCAGCCAGACTTTGGGAGAACATGAAGAAGTTGGAAGAGTGCAGAGAAGAGGCTTATCATATGACTCATGATGGTATGGCAAGTGCTAACATAAGTCTTACCTATGGAATATGACTTGTTTACTCTGGAGATTTGAGCCATAACCTCTTGTCTCTTTTAGGCTATTTGAAACTTTGGCAACTTAGCAAGCCTTCTTTTGGTGCTTATGATGCCATCTTTGTGGATGAGGCCCAGGACTGTACTCCAGGTGATAAATACAGGAAATAAATCTAAAATAAGTAGAAATTGTGTGCTTGCTCTCTCTCCCTCTCCATGTATACATATAGATATGTGTGTGTTTATATATACATATATGTGTATGTATAATTGCTCTATATACATATATGTATGTGAATATGTGTGTGAAATTTCAGTTAACAGTCATTATTCTGTCTCTGACACTGACACTAACTGTACAGTCTCGAACAATTCTCTTAAACATTTTAGGCCTTGGTTTCTTCATCTTTTTTGTAAAATAGGCATAATAATACTTTATAAACCCTAAAGACCTTCCCACCCCCATTTTTATGAGACAGTTGTTACTTGGCTTTGAATCCTGCCTCTTACCCTTAACCATGTGTAAGTTTCACTGTATCTGAACCTCAATTTACTTTCCTATAAAATGGTACTTACTTCATAGGATTGTTCTGAGGAAAGTTTTTTGTAGACCTAAAAGAGCCATATAAATATGAATTATTATCCATGCTTAAAAAGGAAGCAGCGATATAAATCATCCCAAAACCATTTGTGTCCTACTTTGAAGTATATCATGTAAAGATAAATATGCTTATCTTCTTACTTATGTTTTGCTTTCAGTTAGCATTATTAAAATATATCTGGCTTCCCCAAGAACCAGTCAACTGATGGCAAAGGGTCAGTAATCTTAGGATGAAAATTTTTGTTACAGATAATATAATGCCCATGTGGATAATACATGTAAATGTACAATGTGCATGCACATGTGAATGTAGTTCTCTGAGGGATCTTGTTGGTTTCCAATTGGGATAAAACAAGCAGAATGCATTAGTTTGTTTTCTAAGGATACTTGTGCTTAGTAAATGTTTGCATCATTGCAAATTGTCACATGTTACTGATAAACTACATGAATGTTTATGATATTTTTGGTTTTGATTCATATACTTAGTCCTTTAGAGAAGGGAAGAACAAGGGAAGACATTATGCGCTGCTTGGAGCTTACAAGATTTAGTTTCTTCTGTTCCTTATGAAGAATTATTTATTCCTGTTTTATTGGCTGTAGTCCCTTGAGATCATACTCTCTTCTCCTTTTTGGTTGTAGCCATCATAGACATAATTCTATCCCAACCATGTGGAAAAATCTTTGTAGGGGACCCACACCAACAGATCTACACCTTTCGGTATGCTATTAATGCCCTTTTTGCAGTCCCACACACACATCTCTTCTATCTCACACAGGTAAGAACTTTCCCTACTCTCAAAGCATCATTTTTATGTTTGTTTTTTTAATTGTGCTTTCCTCCTTTTACCATTTTGTTTGTCCATCTGTGAATAGGTAAAGGCTATAAGGAGGGCAATGAAATTCTGTTAAGTTATGGGCCTGAAATGTGTGCCCAAATCTCTTAGATTCTAGCCTACTCTTTTTGTGGTTTTCTTCCTTAAGGGCTGGCAAAAATCCACTTGACTACCTTCTTAGCATAGTTTGGACCTTCTAAGGAGGATTGTTAGATACAACTTGTGTGCATTGTAGCTTTCCCCTCTGTATAACACCAGCCTTCCTGTACCCAGAAGTCCAGCGGTGTTTAGAAAGGAACTGGGGCTCTGGCAGTAGTACCTGCAGCCACATCATAGCCCACTGTTATAACTTTCCTTTTGATACAATGTATCCAGCCCTGCCGAGTCTCCTATAAGCCATAGCTATTGTTTTGGCTTGGCTGTCATTACAGGCACTTTAGGCATCTCACACAGGTTCTTGTATGACCCATTACAAGATAAGATATTGTTCGTCTTCATAGCTCAGTCAGTCAAACATTGGATTTGGAGCCAAAGCTCTTTGAAGTAAGAATTTTTTGTTCAGTTGCAGAGAAGCTTCCAGTATTGTAGCTAAGAATTAAAAAGAACCAGTCAGCCAAGCAGATCCTGAAGCCTCCACCATTTTTCTATCGACAGACATTTATTAAGAATGCTGTGTGCTCTACATTGAAGATACAAAAATAACACAAGAAGCTTTGTCTGTGTGTGTGTTTTGGGATGATACATCAATAATTGTAATAAAAGTTAGAATGACATTAAGTGAACAGAAGAGAACCAACAGAGAGGCATATGAGGATTCTTTTGGGAGGTTAGAGGAAGGCATTAGGGAAGGCTTCGTGGCGGTAGCATCTTTACAGTAGTTGGACATAGGGGAATGGTGAGCATAAAGGGAAGAAGTCATGAGGGCAAGGTGAAATTGAAATACAGCAATAGCCTAGGTTGGCTAGAACATGGATGCATGGCAGTTGGTAGTTATGGAAATGAATTGTCCTGAGGTTGGGGGAAGGGGAGTCCTCAGATGACTTAAAGTTTACTTGGCCCTGTATCAGAACCAGATAGCAAACTGATACAGACATGAATTCTTGAAAATGTCAGAGAACAGAGGTGTGCCAGGTATCTGGTATGGCATGCAGGGGTAGTTTTGTTTTTAATTTGTCATAGATTTTTTTTTTTAATTTGTCATAAATTTCTTTGGCTGTCAGGAAATTGTTTTCAAATGCACAAAATAAATAGGATTACAAAGGAAATCAATTGTATTAAAAGAAAGATGTAATTTTTTTTTCCCCATCCAAGTTTGTGGTTTCTCCTGTAATTAATCTACTTGGATTACTTGGGAATCCTTGGACCGTAGGTTAAGAACTCCTGGTCTAGAGGGTGGTAGATAGGGGGTAAAAAGGGGAATGTTGCTGTAGTGCTTGTATGAGAATAGGTCCTTAACCAAAATTAGAGAAGCAGCGTGGCCTAATGGAAATAACACAGCCAGGGGAACAGAAGTTCTGGATTCAGATTCTACTTCCAATGTCTACTACATATATGACTTGGGGCAAGTAATTTAATATCTGGGTTTCATTTTACTTATCTGTAAAATGTGGGAATTAAGCTAGATAGTCTCTGAAATCTATGGTTTTGTGAAGATCCAACTCTAGATCTTTGATGCTGTGATGTCAAAGTGAAGGAATGTAGGTGAGAAGCATAATGAAGGATAAAACTGAAAGAATCTGGATAATAAGAGAATCATAACATCACAGTATCTTGGAGGTGAATTAGATTTTATGCCACTCATTTTGCACTCCCCCACCTTGCCATGCCTCCCCATCCCCACTCCCAGCCCAATGAATCCCTTCTGTAATATCCTGTAACATCTCCAGTTTCCTTAAGGTTTTGAACTCAGGGTTTCTGATGTTGTTTCCACTGTACCATACTGTCTACATCCAGATTCTACTTGAATGCCTTCAATGGATGAAAACTTACTACCTCATGAAACATTTTTAAGCGGATCTGAGGTTTCAATCCTAGATGATTGGGAGAGTGGTATTTGAAAGATTTGAAAACAAAGTTAATAGTTTCTTGGGAGACTACATAATAACTAGACTCTACTTAGAGCACATTATCAGATTCATATTTGAAGACTTTATAACATGCTAGAGCAGTCTACTGGCATATAGGCAGCTAGGTGGTCCAGCAGATAGAATGTTGAATCTGGAGTCAGGAAGACCTGAGTTCAAATCCTGCCTCAGTAGCTACCTGCTAGCTCTGTGAAGCTGGGCAGGTCTCTTAATCTCTTCTTGCCTCAGTTTCCTCATTGGTAAAACGGGGTTAATAATAGCAACTACCTCCCAGGGTTGTTGTAAGGATCAAATTTATAAAGCAATTGACAAACCTTAAAGCACTATGCCAATGCTGGCTATTATTATTATTGGTATAGCCTTTGAAAACCTGGAGTGACTTTCATGTCATGTTTAGGTATGTAAAGGTAGGACTTTAGTGGAAAGTGGGCCTAGTGGTGAATTGCCTATCTACTGTACAAAGACCAGTCTCTCTAAGGTTGAAAAAGTTCCTTTCCAGGTTGGTTTTATAGAGTAGTGAATTTGTCAGCCATGGCAACCTTCCAAAACTTAACTACTAAGTGATTAAAGGGTTACTATGACCACTGAAGAAATTATAGATCCTCAAAGTACTAAAAGTAAATGATACAAGTAGTTTTATTTTTAAAAGATTTTCCAAATATCTGTTCCACATAGGGTGAGTCAGAAATTATGTTTAGCAAAGCAAAAGAGTTTGGCTAAGTAATGTACTAGAAATTATTATACTCCTTTAAATGCTGAGAATTCTAGTGCGTGTCTTTATTAAGATTAATTTACTGTTGATGTCACTGACTGGTAGGAATGTGTTGTATGCTGGGATGCAGCTACTAATTCATTTGCCCTCTTGACTCTTCTTAACAGAGTTTTAGGTTTGGTGCTGAAATTGCTTATGTGGGAGCCACTATCTTGGATGTTTGCAAGAAAGTCAGGAAGAAGACTTTGATTGGGGGAAACCAAAAGAGTAAGATTCTAGTTCCTGTGATTTATGGGTTCTAAAAATTAATTTTTTTCATTACCATAGAATATATGTTTCTTTCTCAAAAGGTAGCATTAGAGGCAGTTCAGAAGGACAAGTTGCCTTGTTGTGCCGAACCAATGCAAGTGTTTTTGATGAAGCAGTTCGGGTGACAGAAGGGAAAGCTCCTTCAAGAATATATTTGATTGGGGTAAGAGTGAATTTCTTTTGGCTGCTTCATGCACTGAAACTTTTCAGAGAAACATACTTTCTCCTGTGAGAGGAAAATAAAGACCTGGTGCAAGAGAGCTAAACTGATTAGCCAAATTATGGAAGGAAGTATTTATTTGACTGTTGGAAATTTCTGTTGTTGACCTCTTCCATTTATCAGTTAGGTATGTAAATGTGATGGAAGTTTCTACTACTAGGGGACCAGCTTATGTTGACTAAATATTGAATTTCAGTGACTGAAGGGCCCTTCTATACCCTTTTATTCTTACCCTTATATTCTTTTAAAAATGTAGGCCCTCATCTCACATGTGTGCTTCTTTTTTGCGTCTCCAGCTGTTATCATTATTCATTGCTACAGAATTGATCAGGATGACTACATATAACCCAAAAGCAATACTGTAATCTACTGGATAGAGTTTTGAATTGAGGTTTTGGAAACTTGAAACTCTAGTTCTGCTTTTGACTCTGTTAGCCATGGGACAAATCACTTCATGTCTATTAAAAATATACCAGTATCTTTTTTTCCATAGAAAATTTGGAAAGATTAGGTGAGATTAGGTTTCTGAAGGGAAGTTGCTATGTATATAAATCCAAAACACTAATATTTTCCAAGTCTTTTTTCACCATAATAAAAATACTTTTTAAACATTGTACAAAATCCAGTTGGTTTCTTCCCTTCCTGAGTTGACTGTACTATATGTTATAGAACTTGATTACATAATTTGTTGTATAGTCTCTGATATTTTCTGATTATTTTATGTATATATTTATATATGTATATATATGAGAAGATTATGAGTTCCTTCAGGACATGGAACATATAATAAACTTCTTTTGTACCCTTTAGGTGATAACATGGCAAGTGCTGTAGCTCATGTTTTGTGTCAGGTCAGAAAAAGCTGTTTTCAGGAACCACCTGAAACTGAGCTTAAAACAGACTTTTATACTCTTCAGAAAGCAGCTTGTTTTTGTCTCCTTAGACTTGAAAATGGTGCTGGATAACTTGTTTATATTCTGTGGTTAGCTATTCAAGTAGAACAGGACAAAATGTTTTTGTTTAGTTGTAGGGCAGGCTGAACCCAGATTCTGAGAAGTGTATGTAACTGTTTAGCCTAAAGTGGTTCGTGTTTAGAGAGAAGGAGGACACAGTGCCCTCTTTCTGGGGCGCTACAGCATCTAGCATTATGGAGCACAGAGTAGGTACTCAGCAGAGTTTAATTAAATTTAATTAAATGGACCCAGGCCTTGCTTATTTGAGTTCATCTTTTCAAATGAAGTATGACACAAGATTTCTCTAGCGTACCCTCCCAAAGATATGATGACAGATGCATGTACTTAATTATTTGCCTTACCATTTATATTTACATTTAGCCAGCATGTGTTCCTAGAAAGTAGATTCCTTTAACTAATTAGGAAACAAAGCTACAGAACAGAGGCCTTGTCTTTGTCAAGGACTTTGAGGAGCTAATAGTTGAAGCAAAAAAAAAACCAAATTGGCTACCCCAAGTTCTCAATCTACAGCATAGCCCAGTAATCCCTTTCAGTCTTGACCTGTTTGTTGTTTTATGCTTCTGTTATAGTTCAAGTTTGTTTCTGAAAAATCATTTTGTTTCAGAGTTCCAATATATTTGCTTTATTTTGTTTTACTTTTGAAAAATCCAAACCTTCAAACCTCCCCCAAAAACTTTTTCAGGGAACTAAATCATTTGGATTGGACAGATTCATTGATATTTGGATCCTTCTTCAGTCAGATGAGGAGCAGAGAAAACGTGAGTATCCTGATGGTCCAGGTTCAACAGAATAAGTACTAGGGGCAAGAGATCTGAATGTTATTCTATCATGTAGTGTCTACTTAACTGCCTTGCTCTCTTCAGGAGAAAGGTTGTTCCTTTCTGATGATACTTAGTAAATAAAGCAGGATACTTATGGACTATGTTTTCAGAGAATTTAATAATTTACTTCAGATTCTTCCCCATAGTCTCTATTTTTCCTTAGCAGAAAGAGTCCTGGATTTGAGTCCTAGTTCTGTCACTTGGTTTCTGTGTGACATTGAGAAGAGCTTTTGTAGTTTCCTCATCTATAATGAAACAGTGGAGTTGGAGCAGACCTCTCAGGTTCTTTCAAGTTTCATATCTTTTGAATGAGGCTTGAGAGACAGCCATGGTACAGTAGAAAGAGTGCTAGGTCTGGAATCAGAGAGCCTAGATTCAGTTCCTGCCTCTCTCATTTCCTGCCTTTGTGACCTTGAGCATGTCACCTCTCCTTTCTGCAAGTCCTGTTTCTTTCCCTTCTTAAAAATCTCAGAACCTCCTGAAAAATGTGATTCAGAATGCTTATTTTTCTTATTTGACTCCCTCGATACCCTTTGAAGACATTAAGGTTTTTGCTTTTTCTTCATTTTAAAATGTTAGCACTGCATCATCAGACAACCCCTTCACAGTTACTCTGATGAATATATCTTACTGGGTTTCACAAATACTTGTGTTTGCATTTCAGAGTTCCTGCTCAGCTTTGGTCTTTTCATCAAAGATGTTTGAAAGTCTTCTATTTCATTAAAGGTCCATTTTCCCCTGTAGACTCAGCTTTGCAGGGTAAGTTAGTCTTGGTTGTAAGCTTCTCTATTTTGCCTTTTGGAATATTGTATTCCAAGGTCTCTTCTCATTTATAATAGAAGTTATCAGGTGTTTTATTATCCTCACTGCTGTTCCTTGGTACTTTGAACTTCCTTTGGCTGCTTGCAACGTTTTTCCTTTGACGTATAAGCTCTGGATTTTGGTTATAATATTTCTCAGACTTCTCTTTTTGGGGCTTCTTTCAGGACATGGTTGGTGGATTCCTTCTCTCCTTGGCCTTCTGATTATATAATAAATCTGGGTAGTTTTCACGGGCAATTTGTTGAAATAAAGTATCCAGGCTTCTTTTTTTTTTTTTTTATAAACCATGACTTTCAGGAAATCCAGTGATTTTTAAATTATCTCTCTTTGAACTATTTTGCAGGTCACCATTTCAGGTCAGTGTTTCTGATACGTAGGCACTTTACATTTTCTTCTATTTTTTTCAAGTCTTTGGATTTTGTTATAATATTTCTTAATGACTCATGGAGTAATTGGTTTCTCTTAATTTATTCTGATTTTCAGGAATTCTCTTATTTGGGTACTATCTGTTCTAAACTAGTCCCCTTTCAATTTTTTCTTCCCTCAGAGCTTTTATTTTTTTTTTAATATCTGACTTCATTTTCTTTTACATACTTATTTAGTTGTTGTGAAAAATCTTCTTTTTTCCTTTTAGCTTCTGTTTACAGTTGTTATGGAGTTACTCTTCCCTTGTAGGTTGGATTTTTGTGTTTCTCTGGATCTGTTCTTCTCTCTTGACTGTCACCCTCATTGTAGGCCTTTATCACTTCATGTCTGGACTAATTAATTGCACTAGGTCTCCCTACCTGAAGAACTCTCCACTCAGCTGCCAAATGATCTTTCTAAAACACAGGTTTGATCATGTTACCCCTTATTCAGTAAAATCCAGTGGGCCCCTATTACTATTCCAGCTTCAGATATAAAATCTTCTGTTTGGCTTTTAAAACTATCCACTACCTGTCTCTTTCCTACCTTTCTAGTCTTCTTATACTTTACTTCCCCCATAACTGGAATGCTCTCCTTCACTTTTACCTCATGGCTTCCCTGGCTTCCTTCACAGTTCAACTCAAATCCCTCCTCCTGCTCCTCCTCCTCCTTTCTTCTTCGTCTTCGTCTTCGTCGTCTTCTTTTGCTTCATCCCAGCTTCTGCAAGAATCTTTTCCCCAGTCACCCCCTTCTTCATATACCTTCCTTCTGATATTACCTCTCATTTACACTGAATATATTTTATTTGTACATAGGTGTTCACATGTTGCCTCTCCTATGAGAATGTGAGCACCCTGAGGGCAGAAACAGTGCTTTTTGCTTGCCTTAGCACAGTGCCTGGAACATACATATTAAGTCCTTAGAATACTCAAAAGGCATCGATTATTGTCTATTCTATTCTTTCTAATAAAACGAGAAAGAATTTCATCCTAATTCTTTTGTCTTCTATATCTTCAGTTTCCTCAGTTCTTCAGCCTTAGTTCCTGAACTGGTGGGGCTTTGTGCCAGGGCCAGGCTTTACCCTCTGTTACACTTTTGGGTAAGGTTGTCCTCTCTGCTTGGTAATGGCTTGAGTCATTTGCTACTTCTGAGCCTTACTTCTGAAGTGTGGCCTTCTGGATCTTTGAAGTTCAGAGCACTGGATCTTAAGGGTCTTCTCTGGTTCTTCAGGATAGAATGCTAAAGACCTTATAGCCCCTTGGCCTGAGACATCCTCATCCGAGTATGCCGTCAACTTCACTGGTTGGTGTTGCTCCTGATTAATTCCAAGGGATCTCCACTGGAACTTTACTAGTCTCAAAAATTGAAAAAAGAAAGCACCTTAACAAAAACCTTTTATGAAATATAGTCCTAATACTTAAACTAGAGAAGAATAGAGACAGAAGAATTATAGGTCAATGTTATTAATGAATGTTGATTAAAAATTTTTAAACAAAATCATGTCAAACAGACTACAGCAATTTATCCAAGAAAACATTCGTTATGATCTGGTGAAATTTATACTGGGGATGTAAGGATGATTCAACATTTGGAAAACAACATAATGACCAAAACCATATGATTATCTCAATAAATGCAGAAAAAGCCTTTGACAAAGTACAGGACTCATTTATGCTGAAAACCTTACAAAGTATAAGCATAGAGATCCTCTTTTTAATATCGTAAAAACATGTATCTAAAACCAAAAGCAGGCATTATGTGAAATGGGGATACGCTAGAACTTTTTCCAATAAATACAGGATCCTCACTCTACCCATTTTTATTTGATATAGTTCTGGAAATGCTAGTGATAGCAGTAAGACAAGAAAAAGAAATTTAGAACACAGATAGGTAAAGAAAAGATAAAATCATTCAGATGTGCAGATGGTTAGAGAAATCAGCAAAGATACTAATTGAGACACAATAGGGTCAACAATTCTAGGCCTCAACATAAACCCTTAAAAATTAGCTGCATGTCTATATAATAACAATCCAAGAGACAAAAGTGGGAAGGGACTTCTCAAATAATTACATAATGTTTAAGGTATCTTGGGATCAATCTACCAAAACAACCAAGAGACTTAAATAGACTCAAATACAAAATGTTCTATAAAGAAATGAAGAAACATTTAAAATGGCTCGAGGAATATTCCTCATGGCTGGGCTGTGCTACTATAATAAAAATAACAGTACTTTAAAAGTTAATTTATGCTTTTAATGCTATACCATTCAAATTATCAAAGGGATACTTTATAAAACCTGATGAAATAATAACAAAATTCATTTTGGAAAAAAAATCTACACTCTTCAAGGCAAGTAATGAAAAGAGGTATTGACCACAGAAGAATAGAACAGAAGAATAGAACTGCAAACTGTATTATAAAACAGCTGCCATCAAAATTATCTGGTATTGGTTAAAAATTAGAGAGGTAGGTCAATAGAGCAAACTGTAACAGGAAGAATTAGAAATAATGGAACTCCTCAACCCTGTTCTTGATAAACTAGTAAACATATATTACTTAGGCAAGAACTTTTTTGATAAAAATTCCTGGGAAAACTAAAAAGCAGTCTGGCAGAAATTCAGCTTTGGCTGATACTCTGAGTCACATTCCACAATACATTCTAAATGGAAAGATTATCATAACAATAAAGATCATACTATTAAAAAAATTGGGGCAGCTAAGTGGCAGCGTGTATAAAGTCCTGGACCTGGAGTCAGGAAGACTCCTCTTTCTGAGTTCAAATCCAACCTCATTAACTTGTGTGACCCTGGGCAAGTCATTTAACCTGTTTGCCTCAATTTCCTTATTTGTAAAATGAGCTTGAAAAGGAAATGGTAAACTGATTATTTATGTGGATTTACTTTATATCCTACTACTTTACAATAATTAATTTTTGATTAACTGTTTAGTTCAGTCTTTGAGATTTTCCAAGTATGCCATCATATTTTCTGTAAAGAGAGTTTTTATCTCATTCCGTATTCTGATTCGTTCTATTTCTTTTTCTTCTGTCATTGCTATTGCTAGGATTTCCCATACAGTATTGGATAATATTGGTGATAATGGGCATCCTTGTTTCACACTTGGTATTACTGGGAAAGCTTCTAGCTTCTCTTCCTATTACAAATAATGCTTGCTGATAGTTTTATATAGTGCTTTGTATCAATTTAAGGAAAAATTAATTACACCAGTACTTTCAAGTGTTTTTAATAGAAATAGAAATTGGACTTTATCAGAAGCTTTTTCTGCATCTATTGATATGATCATAAGATTTTTGTATTGATATAATCAATTACATTAATAGATTTCCTTATGTTAAACCATCCTTACATTCCTGGTATAAATCTTACTTGATCATTATGTATAATCTTTGTAATATATTGTTGTAATCTTTTAGCTAGTATTTCTTTTTTTAGGATTTTTGTATCCATATTCATTAATGAAATTGTTCTATAATTTTCTTTCTCTGTTTTTACTCTTTCTGGTTTAGGTCAGTATCATTTGTTTCATAAATGGAGTTAGGTAGGATCTCTTCTTTATCTATTATTCCAAATTATTTAATATTGGAATTCATTGATATTTAAATGTTTCACTTGTAAATCTATCTGGTCCTGGTGCTTTTTTCTTAGGAAGTTCATTTATGTTTTCCAATGAAGAAATAAAAACAACTTA